TCCCAGCTCTTCTTGAGGCTAGGTTGACAAAAGGGGGTAGGGGGGATGAAGGCTAGTTTGACAGTGCTACTTGACTTGCTACTACCGAAATCATCCTCTCTCTGCCCCTGGTGGCTTGGCTTCCATGGCATAGACATGGATTGATGCTACCACCGCAGATCAAAATACTGGTGTAATAAATGGTTTTGCCTAATGATCCTCCACCCCATTCTTTCTGGAAAGGAAGCCTAAAACAGCAGGATGCAGGATGGTTGTGAAAGGAAACCAAGTCTGTAACTTTTCCTTCTTGTGCTTCTGTTCCTCAATTCCCCCCCTCCCCAACTCACCCTCAAAACAAAACCCCACAGGAACAGGAACTGCAAGGTTGTCCAGGAGGGAAAGGAATGTTTCCAGGGCACACGTTTACGCCACTATTACATGCTGTGCGGGGCACTCTTGCGCGTCTGGACCAAAATCGCTAGCATCATGGCTAACATCACCAACACCAGCTATCTGCAGATCGTCCGCCTCAAGACCAAAGAGAAGAAGAAGCAAGTTGGTGAGTGGAGAACTCGAGCTTTTCCCCTGTGGCGAAGGGGCAAAGGGTGGAATCACCTCCGATCCTGGAGTCCTAGATCTGGAAGTGGCCGTTGAGGGCATGGAAACCTTGTGGGAGATGGCGGGGAGGCTGGGAGAGGAACGGAAGAGAGAGTAAACAGCAAAGAGGCATCGCGTTCGCAGCTTATCTTATAACCAGCCACTCAGCCCAGGTGGGGAGAAATCTGGGACACAGCATTTCAAAGCATTCAAAGAAACTCTGCCTTAATGAACAACATAAACAAGGCTTTGGCAATTTCCAAAATTCTGCAGTTACCCCAGAGCAGCATTCAAGATCCCACACAGAAATCTAGGTAGTTCTTTTGGGATATCATGTTTATTAAGGATTTTGATTACAGTAGTAAAAACGAGTACAAACTACACTTAAAGAAAGGAAAAGCTATCGTAAGAAAGAATAAAAAGTGCAAGAGCAAGAAGAAAGAGAAAAGAGAATATGATAAAGAAAAAGAAAAGAAATATATAAAGAAGTGACTTCCAACAAGGATAGACAAATTTAGTAACTCTTCACCCCCTATAAGGTTACAAACATATATCTCTTCGTCCCTTATCTCATCCCTTATCTATAAGCAAATCCATAAAACATCAACTTTTCAATCTTAGTGTCAGCAAAAAGTCCGTAAAAGGTTGCCAGAACTTTGCAAAAAAAAAGTTATTATTTAACCTTCATCAAAAAAACCCCAACTGCACATTCCTTCCTTTTACTTCTAACAGTCTTAATCTTTAGTTCATTCAAAGATTGTCGTAGGATTTGATTTCTCTTCAATTCTCTGTCCCATCGCACAGACTTCTTCAAGGGTTTAGGAAGCCTCTTTTGCAGATCCAGTAAGAAAACATTTTCCAGGTCATTCTCTTGGTTTGTCATTTGTATTTCCTCTTTAATTTTTAAAACTTCAGCCAGTTTCTTTTGTATATCCAATAAAGCATCCTTTTCAAAATTATTCTATTGACCTGCCATTTGTAGTTCCACTTTTGATACTTTCGTCAGACAAAATTTGTTCCATGTCTGTCATTCCCTCATTAATACCTTTTGGACATAATCTACTGATCTGGCGGGGGGGGGGGGGGGGGGGTTGAAATTTTCTGATTCTCACAGAGAGAAAGCAAGCTTTGTATGAGCCATGAATTCTGGGAGGGGCAAAGGTGTGTAGTGAGCCCACCTGGGTTCTGTCTGAGGCACATCCAGCCGCATCTCTGATATCCTAGCCGATAGCCCTGGTCCTGGTTTCAGATTCTCTCTGGAAGCTGTGACTTTGGATCTCTGGGGATGACAGGAGGTGGTCCCTCCTCCAGGGAGGTGTTGGGGAGGCTGGAAAGGAGGGAGAACAAAAAGAGCAAGGAAGAGGAAAGGACAGAACAGGAAGGATTGGCCTGTTCTGGACTCCCATCTTCCAGCATGAAGGTTGCGTCTCACGGCACTTATTGCTTTACTACATATTAAGATTCCGCAGCTTTGTATAAAACAATTGTTTATAGCTATTGGAAAAAGCAAAGAATGGGGCAGGTTCAGTTTGCAATGTTAGATACTCCATGTTCCCTTGTCTGACACCCCAGCCCAGACAAGATCAAGATGAAAAAGGCAAGAGGGTGCCAGTGATATTGCAATCAAAGTTTCACCCATTTTTTATGTGCATCAGGTAGACACCCCTGTAATACAGTCAGGTTAGGAAGCCAGAGCCTGAACACAAGTGGAGTGCCGTGGAAGAGAAGACTCGTAGATGTGCTGAAAAATTTCCTCAATTTAGCATCCTCAGGCACTAAACTTGGGTTTTAGTTTGTGTGTGCAGCGCACACCATTCTGATTCTACACCCTTTTCTCCTTGGACAAACTCTTTTGTCTCCTGCTCCACAATTGCATTTCTGTACTTAGTGTCTTTCCGTGTTCTCCCCTCATCCCTCACTTTTCCCTTTCCTTACCTCCCTTTTCTCTGTAACCCAGATACTGGGAGTCTCAGCCTCCTCTCAAGGTTACAGGACTCTAAGCCATGGTTATGTCCTCCAGTTAGGACCTCCGAAGTTGGGTTGAGTGGGATGTTGGGTTAAGTCTCGCCTTCTGCCGAAAGCCGACTCAGTACGTTTTATCCCTTCTGCAGGGATCAAGATACCAGAGAACTGCGTCCATCAGGTGCTGAAGGAGCTGAAGCAGATGGATGAGAATGTGAAGCAGAAACAGAAGCAGCCTCCAGCCATGTTGGCACCAGTGAGGCCCACCCTGCCCTACCCGCTGCTTGTACCACCCCTGGACAGCCAGTCCACAGGATTTTTCTCTGCCCAGCACTCTTCCTTGCAGCAAGATGAGATCTTGGACCTGACCCGCAGCCCCCCTGGTGAAGGTCTCCTGGACTTCTGCTGGACAGAACCTTCTCCTCCTCCTCCTCCTGCTCCTCCTCCTCCGCCACCACTCCCTCCTCCTCCCCCTCCATCCCAGTTCAGCTTCCACGCTCCATATGACAGTGCAGCATTGGTGGGCAGCCTGGCCCACGGTGGCTCCCCCTCCCAGCATGAACACATGTCCTCGGCTCCAGCCCTCCCACTTCCCCTGGCGGACAGTTTCTCCTCGGCCAGCCTGAACTTCCGAGAGCTCTTGGAGGAGATGATGCTGAACCCCCACGGCCTGGGGAGCGAGAACAGCGGGCAGGAGCGCCAGAGTGTCATCCAGTTCAGTGGCCCCCTCTCCAACCTCTACGATGCCAGCTGAGTTGGGGGGAACAGGGGGTTCTGTTCATCAGGCTGGGCCACTTTGGAGGCCATGTTGTGTTTTTATACTGGGTTGGAACGGACCACTTCTGTCTTTTTAAAGGGGTGGGTGGA